TGGAATTTCAATGGTGGCAGCTTGCCAAGTCCAGCCTGAATAGGCAATCCACCTCATGCTGCACCAGAAAAGGCAGTAGTCTCTTCCGTAGGCACATCTCCTGGTAAATTTGCTGGTTCATGGTCCCAGAAATTAAGAAAGATTCGCTTTTCAGCCAACAACTGCAGATTGCTTTGCCAGACAAGGTACCTTTTGAGACATTTCGAATACTTTTTGACCTTACATTCCTCCGGGGCACTCTTCCGGTCAACCGGAGGATAAAATTCCTGTCCAGGAATTTGATCGAAAACTGCCTAGAGTGGATTGACTGGGATTTTCGTTTCGAGCGTGCAGGATCGAATCGCAACGTGCTTTATTCATTCATTTCATTCATTCCTTTATTTAACGTCGGTCTCTTTTTTCCCTTTTTGGTGCATACCTGTTGGTCCATATTTGCTATGAACGTCGGTCTCTGTTCCGCGATCTAGTTCCAATCAGCGATAGACATCAATTGCCATCCATTGACGGCAATCGAATGTGCAGGAAGGCAGCTTCCACACCTGCGTAGGATATCGTACCCATTCAACATACATAAGCAGGGATCGAGGTAGTTTTATGACAGGTGGGCAGGAGCTCACGGTCTCCCAGTGTTGGTGAGTTCTTTGCCGTTAATTTTCACGAAAAGTTCACTATTTTGCCATACAGAAATTCAAAACAAAAAAATGTATGGGCGAATTTGGACAGTTTTTGACTTGTTTCATGCTGGTCACAAATGTCGTGCCAAACTGATTTCCTACGCAATTAATCAATCTTTGATGTGAATTTCGCTAATAAACACGATGAGCATTTCTTATAGCAAAACTTGCCATAACAAAATGGGCATCGTTCATTTTAGTAAACAAACTAACACTTCTTCCTTGTGTATCACCTTTGTATCAAGCGCCTAGGGCAGGGATCAACAGCTTTACTTCCCTTCCGAAGGAAGACGAGACTAGAGATTGTCATGCCTCAGAAAAATCCCACCGAACTTATCCTGACAACCAATACCTACTGTCATTCTATGCACTCTTAGTTTGATTCATGGAAATTTTGATAAATTTTACTCAAAAAATGGCTTAATGACAACGTATTTAATGTGTCCGGATTTTTTCGTATTCAATCTTTATAGAATTTGTTTAACTGGTACCCCTACACTGGTGCGCAGTGTTCGGAAAATCATTCTTAAATCTCATTCATTGAACCTCCCTGCGAATGCGTTAAAAAAATCACGCTTGAGATTGTTATGCATATTCACGAACTCACACTCACAACGCCGAAAAATCATTCCAGCTTTAAACTCATAAAAACCACTCAAACGTCAATTGATAGCATGCCTATGCATGTTATGTTAGTTTTCCAACAACTGATGCACTAACAATAGTAATAAAAATGAATAACACTAAAATATAAAGCAATAGGTTTTTGAACCTGAAAACTCATAGGTGATTTTTGCGACGTTGAATTTTGCTAGGCAGAACTCATACGCGCATAAACTCATGCATGAGATTTGAGTTTTTGAGTTTTTCCACTTTACTTAAGGCACCACTCAACGCCACTAACGCCATTGGGAACCTCTGTAGAGGCATCAGTTGAACACATTCTAAAGGAACGCCGTTTCATAGCAATGGATCAATAAAAATACTGAGGATTTGACAGAACTGTGTTGTGGCTACCACAAAATTTTACATTTGATCATCCATATACAGTAGCGCCAAACGCATGCTGTGGTGGGTTCAAAACTTGACCATCTAAATTGATCAATTTATGCTGTTCATACTAGCGGGTAATGGTTTTCCACAATTCCTGTAAATTGAACTTTGCTCGCTTTCTACTCTCTTTATACAATTTTCTCACTGCCGTACTCAAACAGAACTATCAACTCTATACTTTCATCTCCTCAGATATCGTATAAAATTACCACTTTAAGTCTGATATCTGACGTTATGCATCTCCAACTATGTAAATCGTTAATTTCACGCATGGAGTTATACAAACATTATTAGTTAAAGTATCTTATGATTCCATAATACCTTAAATGCTTATGCGAAATGAATGGCAGTAACCTTGCTTAAGAACCACGCACAATCCGGATCTAATCCGTTGCGACAAAATGACTGCTAACTGTCTAACTGTCAGATTAGCAATAACGGATCAGATCTGGATGCATTGCGCGTGGTCTTTAGTTTTGTTTGCCAAATCTCGGTGAAATTGACAGCGTCTAGCAGCTCTGCAATAAGGTTTACTGAGCAAAAGTGACATTTGGTCGCTAAGTCCCCCAAAAATGTTCAGCTCAATTTAAGTAAGCAGCTGTCGTTTTTCGCTGAGATATCAGTAAAACATATTGCGAGCTGCTTTATGTGCTAAAATTACTTAGATTTGGTAATTTAAACTCAATAAGTGATTTTTTTTATAAAAATCGACTGATCCACGGTTGAAGCACAGATAAACAGACGTAGCTTTTGTTACCGTTTGGATACTTTGCCCTATGGAAAAGAGCGAGCACTCAACCGAACGAGACAGCAATCCACTAGTATACTGCTGTTCGGTGCGCTCATGGCTGAGAAGCATGATAGTATATAATCAGTAATGATTGATCTAATGTTTGCTTATAATTAATGATATTATTATTCATATTGTTGCTAAAACTAAACAGTGAATGAATAGTAGAGCACTAAAGGCTCATTCATATACTTAAAACAGATAGGAATTAGGGAGCTGAATTACATGAACTCCAGCATGAACGGTCGAATTAATTATATGATTTGAGTAGTAGCTATACTGAAGATCCGAGAGATGTCGCCCCTTCAGTGGTAGGAAAATCATTTTTGCAGTATGGAGAATATCAGAAAATCCACGATTTGTGACTAAACATGCTTTTACAAAAGGAAACAAATAAAAGAGTGTATACCTTATCACCATAAAAATGTACTCGTGCAATTTTTGTGCATCTAAAATTGCCCATAAAGACGATAATGAATAAAAACTGAAAATTTCCTTGCATTTCCAAATGGTTTCCTACCATTCCCATACATTCGAAGTGACTGGCCCTCTGGATGTGGATGATGCCAAAAACAACAAAACATGATTAATTAAATACAGAAACACACCAACTGTTATACACCTACACTTAGCATACAGAAAACAACACCCACCACCCGGATCATGAAGGAGAAGGGAAATTTGGAATGGAACTAATGGATCAAGAAGGAAAGGGACATTTTGGGAAAAGGGAAATATATGGTCTGCTACCGTTCCGAAGAATAGCACCACCAACCAACCTTTGAGTTAACAAGTTCACCAAGTTGAAGAACAAAGTTTATAAGTTCACATAGAGTAATAAATAGTGAACATTCGAATACGGGTGGAAAAACAAAGCTGCCTAATCCTTTGAAACCGTAGAATCAGGTAGGAAAATATAAAACGGACTCCGAAAGCATAACCATCAATCAGACCCTTTTCCTATTTCCCACGTGCCCGCAGGACCCATTGAGTTTTACCTTAAAGCCGGGTGTAAAGCCTGAGTGAGGCCACGGTCTGTGAAATCAGCCCGAGAATGCACTGGCCAGGTAGTGCTCGATCGACCGGCTATACGTACCAACGAGCCGACGTTCAACCTTGGTAGGAAACCAGGTACCGCGAGGAGTACGCAGTGACAGAACCTCGTGCCATCCTGCACTGATACCACTGTCCGTGGCAACCGTGCTATTCATCGCACTCATCCAGCAGTCCCCTGCGTCCAGCGCAAGTGACACCGACGCCGCCGACGTGCAGCAATATCAGCGATCATCCGCTCGCACTCGTAGCCGCCCCGTCCGATTCCCCGCAGCAGAGATCCACGTGCCGGCCGGCCCTTACACACAAACACACCCCCAGAATTTGTAAGTAGGTTTTAATTAATAAAAGTTAATTATAACACTCTTCATTCTGAACCATCTTTCACGCCTTTAACAATTGGTCAATTTAGATGGTCAAGTTTTGAACCCACCATAACATGCTTTTGGCACTTCTGTATATGGACGATCAAATGTAAAATACTGTGGTAGTCACAGCATAGTTCTGTCAAAACCTCAGTATTTTCATTGATCCATTGATTTGAACATTAGCATTTCCGCGAACTACTCACCGCAGCACCGGCATCGGATCGCTTTGACGTTTCTATATGATCTCTTTACCTAAATGCAACATTGTTTATGAATTTGTGGGCTAGCTTTTGTTTTCCGCGAGAAACTCGAGATGCCGTACAATGTTTTCAAGAAAAACATATTCAAAGAGTAACGTCAGTTTGTCTGTGGTAGAAGTTTTTTTTGTAAATAAAAACTTTGCGGAACTCAGTTATCATTGTTATTATACATTAATTAAATCTTAAAACTAGTGTTAAGGGAATTGTGCCGAATACTCGCGGTAGTCACGAGGTTAGCGGAGATTTAAAATCTTATGGATGGGGAGAGGGAAAAGGAGATTTTAAATGTGATTTATGATAAAAATAAAGTACACTGCAAAAAGTTTTCACTTAGTTTCTATTAGGAGCAGACATAATATTTTTTCCAATTACAAAAATAATTATTTTTATCTGAATATCACATAGCATAAGAAATTCTATATGAGAAATCATATAGATTTCATTGGACACATAAAGCTCATGTGATTTAGTGGTGCAATTTTCAATAATGGGATCACATGAAAGTTATGTGAAATTCACATGGATATTTTCCACTGGTTATGTGATTTATGATAAAAATAAAGCAGAAGTGTTGGAGTCAATTCACAGTGCACAATCAAATAAGCGTATAGCAGAACTACTAAACACACCTTAAAAAGTACCACAGTATATTGAAATACACTGTGAAATTATTCATACACCCAAAACAAAACGTCAAATATTTGTTATTCTTTCTCTTTCCATCACATCCATCACACTTCCCATTCAAGCATACAACGTTAGAGCAAGAGTGATCCCTCTCCCATTCATTGCCGTCTACCGAATGAGTCGATTGTCAATTCCCGTCGTGTACGTTGCTCCGCTGTTGTCCGTCGCACTGATAAACAAAAGCATCATTTTCCGGAAGAAAAACATGCATTCCGGTGTAGAAATGGTGCTCCCATAGTGTAAAGTGAATCGGGAAGATGTAATTACGTATCGTGGGTGTTGGGAATCCAGTGGAAAAGGTGAATTGGGTCGGATGAAAATCGGACAATTTTCATTCAGCATTACACTTGAGGAGAGCTGGCGAAAAAGAGGAACGACCCACCGTCGTGGTATTGGTGGGCGTGTGTTGCGTGAAAACAAATACAAACCATACCACGCTGGGTGGTTCGGTGTGAGTGTGGAGTGTATCACAACATAATGTTTCGTGTTGGAGAGTGAGAGCGTGTGTTGGAACCGGCGCTGCGGGGGTGGTGGCATGCTGGAATGGAGGAATAACAGTGGCAGCACTGCTAGCAATCAGTTATCTTACCCAACGATCGGGTGGCCCCTATGCATCAGTGGTGGTTGTGTACTGTTGATAATGAATCCATACAATGATGGCAATTTGATCACTGTTTAACGTTAATATTGAAATATATTTCATCCGAAAAGGGCATTGACCAGCTAATGGAATTAAACATAGAAGCTATGTCTCACACGATAACTTGTCATATTAGTTGTTTTGTTTATTTTTAGGAAATTTATGAAATCTCAAATTTGAAATTGTCGATATGCAGTAAAAATACCACTTCCAAGGTAATGACAACATTTGTTGAAGCCCTTCAATGGGTCGTTTGAATGATGATATTGTAAGCTATTGAACGTTAGTAAAATAAAATTGAAATGTATACACAAAAGAGTTCTTTTTTGTTCATAATAAAACTCATCAAAACAATCATTGGAGTTCCTTGGTGATACACTATACAAAATTCTCATGAGATCTTAAATAGAAAGGTTATACGCCACCGGGACAGCTAAAAATGGAAGGCATTTTGATCAATTTGCTCCCGGATTACGGTACTGAAATTAGTAAAGTTCAAAGGAACATATCTTAGTCTTTGTTACTTTTTATTATAGATACTATAGATTCCTTAGATAAGCGGAGGAAAAGTATAATGTAGCCAAACGAGCATGACGTCATCATGGTGTTATTTGAGGGAGAAGTATTGTAATATTATGAGCACAAAACGCTTTCCACACTCCATATTCCGATTTATTTCGTGGACAACGGAATAAGGAAAGATAAAGCAAACCATTCTTCGATACATTGTTGCAAAGATTTGCTTTGGACTTCATTATGAACCTTTACGCACGAAACAAAACAAAACTGCACAACGAAGAGGTCTATGATGGCATGAACTTTTTTCACGGATGCCAGTAAGATCATTTATTTTTCATGGTTGCCAAAACAACTTTAAGTGCCATAGAATCTATAGTATTTATACTTTTTATGTCTTGTTGATAGTGACAAGACTCGGCTTAGTCCACCGAGGATGATCTTGAAACAAGGAACACATGAGTTAGTTAGTCTTCATCTAGGTGATTCCTTATCTTCTATTCGTTGTTACCTAGGTTGATGTGGTTAAGACTATAGTTCTGATGCATGGTCATTATCGGTGTAATTTCTTAATTTTGTTGCTAAGGAATCCAATTTTGACTGACAAAGGGCGTGACTTTGGAGGGTGTTTCAATACTCCGAAGGGTATAAATAGCGGGATCTTTAAATTAGAATCGATAAATGCAAGAATGACAACTGTAAGAAATCGAATACTTCATCATTTCTCAATAGTGAGAGACCTCTTTGATGGTCTGTAACGATATTTTTTCGGATTTGGACGACATTTAGGCTGTGTTCCATTTGGTGAATTTTTCACAGATGGAAATTTTTTAAATAAACCTGCTATTGCACCAGACTTTTTTTTACCGATCAGAAATCAATTTTGACAAACACCTTCTCGAAAATAGGAAGATCAACAACAGAGGGATTTTCTAACAACTTAATTTATTTTCGAAGTGTCAAATTTAAATGAAAATTCACCAAATCAGTGTCAGCATTTCAAAGGGGCTTAATTGCTTTTGTAAACAATAGCTTTAGCCATCGATTTCGCGCGATAAAAGCTCACACACGAAAATTAATGACACCAACAGGTAGAGGAAAGATTCATCTACCAACTAGCATTGTTAACATGGAGAGGGGAGCTTTAATATGCGAGAAATCAACGGCTAAAGCCATTGTTTACAAAAGCAATTACGCCTCTTTGATATGTTGACACTAAAATGGAACACAGCCTTACTTTATAGTCCATTTTATCTGATTGAATCGCAAATCAATGCCAGATTATCATGTTTTGGGGTGGTTCTATCTACGATGCAGGATAGGTTGTGTTTTGCTGTGGTTAGCTGCGCGCACGCTGAGTAGATAGAAAGAAGATTAATGATGATTCTGAAGATTTCTTGAAAAAAGATGATGCACGATGCAAGTAAATGGGAGAAATGAAAGAAGATTTTTCGAAGATTGATTCGCTAGTGTGAGATTTGTTGAGCACCTAGAATTGAGATTAAGATGTGTCGCCCCCTCGCATATTTTGATGTTATCTAAAACTTTCTAGAACTTATTAGACTGATCAAATATGAATAAAATAGTGAATAACTAAAAAAAATAGTTTCGAGGAAGTCTTGCGAGAACACCAATCATACTTTTTTAGGGTTAACATGTCAAAAATTGGAGATTTTTAAAAAATGTCTTATAATTATGAATTTTACAATTTTGTCGGTGGAGGCGAACCAGCCCAAGGCTGAAAGATTCCCTAATAAAGATAAATAATAATAATAATAATAATTTTGTCGAAGACAAGAACCAGTTATCTCAAAAATGCAGAAAGTTATAATTTGGTTGTGTAATACTAGCTTAATAATGGTGAATTTTTCAAGAGATTCGGAAGAACATTTTAAGCAACTTCGTAGAAGACACCTAACCTTCAAAAAGGAGAGAAAAAGGTTTTGCGCGTCTATTTTCAAAATGGCCTTCCCGGAAAATCGTATTTCCATATGGAGACTGTTGGAAACGTTTTTTTTTTCAAAAGAACTCCCAGCAAACTTCCGGATAAAGTTGGAAGAAACATCTGGTGGAAGCTCTGACAGAACCATGGTACAAGACGTACGAAACTTTCGCAGGAAGTCAGAAGATACTTTCAGGGCAAGACAGTAGGACTCCTGGTGAAGAAGAAACTTCTGGAGTAAGTCTGAAAAAACTCACAGATGGTGTCGGAAGAAGCTTTAGAAGGAAACCAGAAGCACTTCTGAGAGGGAGAAGTCGAAAGAAATCTCGACCAGAAGTTGGAAGAATCATCCGGTGGAGGTCATAAAAAAAAACATCTAAACTGGAACTTGCTTCTGTGGAAATATGGAATAAATTTCCCGGGAAAATTGGAAGAATGAGACAATAAATTCCGGGAGTATTCGGAAGACATTTTCATGGGAAGTCATAAACTTCCAATTTCAAAAATTTTCTGAAGATTGGATACTAAAAACATAGGGGAAATGCAGGTAATGTCGGCCTAAGTGTCCCTAATTTGGGCCCATACATAAATTCAGCAATCGACTTAATTTTCAATAGCAACCAAAAATATCCATTAGTAACGTCCCAATAACGCGTTCATCTAGATAAAATTTATAAATAGCAGATTTTTTGCGATGGGCCCAATCTTAGATCCATAGGCCAACATTAGAGACATTTCCCCTATGTAACATTTTTAAATGTAAATGCTTTTAGAGAAAACTAATATTACCTAATTTTGTTAAAAAAAAATCCGTATTTATGGCACCTCTGTACGAGAGTCCTATATTGACCTTATATTGCAAAAAAAGCGAAAATGCTTGTTGAATATGGATCACCTTCAATTGAGAGATGCCTGGTGTTTTCGGTACTAATTGCATTTTGTTAATATTTTTTCATGCCTATCGATAATAGACATTATGTGAGGAAAATACTTTTAATTAAGATGCACATGACAAATGAGAACGAACCAAATTTGAGTTTAGTTCAGTCATAATCGCCAAAAGTGCAGGAACTTAACGATGAATATATTTACCTCATGATTTTCTGTGAAAAACTTCAAAAATCTGCCAGAAAATGAAGAAAATTGACGAAAATTTTACTCAGTCTATGAGAAGTACCAACTGAGTGAATCCAATCTTTACTTTTATCATATTCGGGATTTTTATCCTGGACAAACCTAGAAAAAGCTGGAAAAACATGGGGCATATTTACTCATTGCTGAGTTCCTGCATTTTATGTGATTTATGAGTAAACTAAACTCAAATTTGGGTCGTTCTCATTCGCCGTGCAGTTGATCTACAACATCCTAAACACATTTCACTATCGATCGCATTCCGCATATTTCTAAAACTTCAATCGAGACTGAATTTCTCAATTACCTACTATGTATTTCGCACAAAATTCATCCCAAGCAAAGTAAACCCACCATAATCGCCAATAATGCTGAAGCATAGGGGCCACCGCCAACATAATGGACTATGTATACCGTATCGCATGCCGCTCATGTTTCTCATCTCGTGCGGATTTTTGTTTAGCAGCGGTAGCAGCTTGGCGACATCGACGAGAACGAAGCACGACAGCCAGGAAGGCGGCAGCAGCAGCAGCAGGAGTTTACCGACTACCACTCAGATCGAACCAAAAGTGCGCGCCAGTGTATGAGTGACTGAGGAGAACCATGCTCATGGCTTGCTTCCACGGCAGTGCCAGTGTATGTTGGGGGGTAATAAAAAATTAGAAAAGCAGTTAGAGGAAAAGCGGAAAAAGGCACCTCTGGTGTGGAAGTTCTGTTGTGTTTTATGGCAACAAAAGAGTCGTAAAAAAACATCTTGCGTCTTCTGGTGTGCCGGAGTGGAAGAATCATTTCTCGGTGCGTGCGCGGCAGAGAACAAGGAAAAGTGGAACGCAGAACGGTTCTGGCTGGCGTTCCTAGCGAGGAATTATGTTAGCAGCTATTTATATTGTGACAGTAGTGTTTTGTTTACATCACCAAGTGACGTATGGAGCGACGGCAGGCGCGCTGGATGTGACGAGTAATGGGTAAATACATTTTGAATGATACTTTTTCTTTCGGTCAGTTTCATTGTTACGTGAAAGGTGTATGGTTGTAGTGTGTTCACGCCTTCTCACGCGGATGAATGGTGTGAGCATGAGCTGAATGAACAAAATGTCAAATAGTAAACAATGGCAAAACTTCATAGATTTTATTTTATATTCATAGGAAATTATTATACAACCTTTACGACATGGATTACTTTTAATCGTCATAACCTCCGTCTCGGCTTTTCCTACTCCTATACTAGGGAACACGCATAAATAACGCAAGAGAAAAAAAGTTGATGCTTGTTTAATCAACAGCAGATGTTCAAACTTAAGTAATTATCACGCTCTGATGGATGTTAGGAGGGTGATATGCTTCCTGTTTGGTTTAGTGTTTTCTGATGTTTCGTTTTCTAAACGTTTAGGGTCGAGAGCTATTTCAACCTAAGCGCCTATTTTCGACATATCGAGCAGAGAAGACCGAATATACATATCTATGATTACGATGTGAACGAATCATACTTTCTTGTTCTGTTCACTGTTCAATTTTCGATTCTCAACAATCAATGAATCAAACATTGTTGTAGTGTAAATATTTAAAATCCACTTGTCCGTACAGTTGTTAGTGAGGTGATGTTGTTAAATATTAAACTGCCATTAGAGCCACCCCCATGAAGAAAACACAGAGGAAGTCCTACGTCAAAAAAAAACAAGAAAACGAACAACCAAACCGGCAAACGAGTGGAGTAATAATACAAATTATTGCAAATGCGATACAACGAGTTGTTTCCTTGATGGTTGTCAACGATGTGGCTGAACGTGAGGTGAAGCTAATTTCTGACTTTATCAAGAATTCCACCCGAGACCCAGTTCAACAGCAATATTGCTTCAGGTGATCGAACAGCATCGAAAAGAGTACCCTTAGAAATCGTAGAATATATTGAACTGAAATATAATCATTACAATCCAATGACATTTATGTGAATATGTCTGACATTGTATATTAGGTACCGTAAAACGGGGTAACATTGATAGTTTTTTAATGTATATTCTAAATATTTTTTACAGTAATGAATTTTTTTCAAATTTTATATTTTTAAAACAAATACTGAGGATCCAAGAGATAATTCGTTAGTAATATGTTGAACGAAAATTACGGGGGTAGTACACTTTGAACGTCCAAAAAGTAAGGCATTTTCGTTAATTTTTTAAGCAATAAAACACTCAGGGAGGGCAAATATGTTATAACCCATTTATTAGTCATCCTTCGAACTACAATTTGTATTTTTTTGAACTCGATTGGCGTCTCCCCGTGGCCGGTGCACCAGGTCGCGCGGGCGTCCTCGCGTGGTAGTCGGAAAACGGCGTGGGAAAATACTCCTTTCCATGTGATCCTGGAACATAAATCGAACAAAAATCCTGATTAGTAATGAAATTTGGGTTAGAAATACGTATTCCGATTTTTTTTCAAATTAATTTTTTCAAAAGTTGTGTTTTCACCCTAGAAATGCTTACAAAATCGTGGATTAAAAATCCATTTTTGACAAAATCGAAAATGTGAATACGTATTTCTAAGCAGAATTTAATTCTGAACAAGAAAACCTAGGCAATATCCAAATTTGATGAAAACTGGTTAGAGTTATTTACAACGCCAGTTTGAAAAACCCCGTTTCGAGATAAACGCGTTTAAAGATAAAAATGCTCTCTCAGCGCGTCGGTACATGTTTTAGGAAATCGCTTTGTAAAGCGGTAAGGAATATTCTGGCGGACTTGGAGTCTTTTTTAAATTAAAGTATACGTCCCAAGGAACATTTTCAGCCAAAAAAATGCATTTTTTTGAAAAATCATAGTGTACTCCCCCCTTAAGGCATTTGCACTATTTTTTTAGTTTTGTGACCGAACTTCAGTATTTCGATTTGGGGTTACTTTGATAATGCTCGATGAATGTAGAAAAAAATGGATGAAACTCAAACAATTTAGTTCTTTAAATATGAAACTTTGAATGAGTATATAATCAGAAAACATCATAAGCAATAAGAATACAATATTGAATTTATGATGGCTGTATCGGAAATACATCTCATAAGTGATGGTTTGAGTGCTCAGTCCTTCAACAAAAACCAAGAATCATGAGGATTTTCGTAGTCTGTAATTATCAAGAAAAATCATTATAGTTATTTTTTTTCGAATTTTCTGAAATAATGAATCTATCTTCAATCTGATGCGGAAACTCAAGCAAAGGCGAAACTCAAACATTAAAAAAAGTTGACATAAGCTACTCAAACTAAAAAATTAACCTTTTTTTCTAGATACATGCAATCTAAATACAAATTGCGGCTTAGTTAGGGGGGACACTTCCCCCTGCCACCTTTTTTTTCTTTTTCTTTTTTGCAAGGAGGAAACCTTCAAAAAGCCATCGTGCCACTGCTTGATGACTGGGCGCATAGTCGCGGTGACATGGTGTGTGGGATTCTTACCGCACTAAAACCTCCTTGAACGCCTTGCCCTTTTCCTCCGGAACCACTTGCCGTATTACTTCGGAGAGGGTCCAATTGTCCAATTGTTTATTGTTTATCAGTCAACAGGTAAAATGTTTACCCCAATGACACCTGTTCTACAACTAAATACAAAACTAACGAATAACATAAATTAACATAAAACTTGTTTAAAACTACGCTTGTTTGTTTCTCGTGACACGTTGAAATCGTACACATAATAACACCGGTTGAATACACGGGACATGCTTCGCAAAGGTTCGTGAAAGCCATAATTAGTTCTTGCCGGAGGGATGGTGATAAACGAGTGCGACCGAAGATTGCGACGACGTGCGTTGATGTCCAAGAAACTAAGAAGCGTAGGACTGTGTTGCCTTGCAGAAGATCCCCAACAAAGCACGCTTTTGCCACGTTGCGTCTTGCTTCTAGTAATTCCAGATTTATAAGTAGACAACGGCTTTCATACCTGGGCAGGTTGAATGGATCTCTCCACCTAAGATGACGTAGAGCGAACCGGACGAATTTTCGCTGAACAGCTTCGATGCGTTGAGTTTCATTCTGGTAATAAGGAGACCAGACGATAGACGAATACTCCAAGAGGGCGCACAATTGAGCAGTATAAAGCTTTTAGGCAGTAAACGTCCTTGAACTTTTTTGCAAAGCGAAATAAAAATCCTAGTTGCGATGAGGCTTTAGACACAACGTACGCGACGTGATCCTTGAAGGTTAATTTTGTATCAACCAGAATCCCCAGGTCCTTGACTGTCGAATCACGTTGTAGATTCACGCCTCCCAAAGCATAGCTAAAATGGAAGAGTGATTGCTTGCGGCCAAATGAAATAACCGAACATTTGGACACGTTCAGCGACATTCGATTAATATGACACCATTCAGCGAAGGCTTCCAGTTGTTGTTGCAGAAAAAACGCGTCTTGTGGTTGCTTAATCGTGTAGTAAAGCTTCAGGTCATCGGCATACGAGAGTTTTAGGCATTTCAAGATGAAATTGACATCGTTCATATACAGCAAGAATAGAAACGGCCCCAAGCGACTTCCTTGGGGAACACCGGACCAAACAGGAAAGGAGGGCAAAACGTGGTCTCCAATTTTGACGGACATACTTCGACCGGTTAGGTAGGATCGAAGCCAGGAAAGCAATTTACTGTTCATTCCCAGCTTGTCGAATTTAGCAACTGCGATTTGATGATTCATTTTATCAAACGCCGCGGATAAGTCTGTGTAAATAGCGTCTACTTGTTGACCATTTTCTATTTGGTGGATCACGAACGAAGTGAAACAAGTCAAATTAGTTGTCGTCGAATGGTTAGGCATAAATCCGTGCTGATCAATCGAAATGTAGTGTGCGTAGTTCTGAACCAGCTTACGCAGAACTATCACCTCAAACAGCTTAGAAGTGGCGCTCAACGCAGCTATGCCCCGATAGTTCGAAACAATCCGCTTGCAGCCTTTCTTGAAAACTGGGAAAATATACGACTGCTTCCAGCAGTTTGGAAATACACCAGTAGCCAAAGATAGGTTGAATACTCCTGCTAGTGGTGTTGCAAGTGTATCCGCGCAGCATTTGACGACAAGCGATGGAATCCCATCCGGACCACATCCCGTGGAGGATTTTAAATCCTTTCCGGCCGATATAACCATATCGTTCGTGATCACGAACTGTAGCCCAGAGGCCGAAAGTTGCGGAACATTTCTGGTGGCGACGGCTTCATCCTGCGGGTCGATGTGTTCATTAGTGAAAACATTGCTGAATTGAGAACGGAACAGGTCGGCGATGTCAGTGATGGAATCAGCTTCGAACAATCCGTTGGTCATCGTAGAGGGCAGTCCGGATTCCATCCGTTGGTCATGGACGTAACGCCAAAAACTTCTGGGATTTGTCTTGAAGCGCCTTTGCAAATGGTCCTGATATGCGTTGTACAAACGATTATTAAGTTGGTTGTATTCAGTGCTCACCGCCATATATCTAATTCTCGTGGAGTCCGTGCGATACTTGCTATGTCGTCTGAGAGCTGCCCGCTTCACAGTCCTAAGATGCTTGAGGTTAGCATTTGACCAGGCTGGCTTAGCCGGTTCGTGTCTAGACTTCACGGGAACGAACTGATCGATGGCATACCACAGGATACCAGATATGGTCGACGCAGCGAGGTTGGCATCACAATTTTGAAGCACCTCGTCCCAATCGACATGTGCGAGGAACTCGCTCATGCTGTTGAAGTCAGCCTTTCTGAAATCATAGGCGATGCTTTCAGAGGTATCTTGGAAGCGTTGCTGTGGACTTATCTTGAATTCCATCAGTACAGGAGGATGATGCCTGCAGATTTTAACGAGCGGTGATGGAGCTTGCATAACTGTGCTGTGCTCGCAAAGTTCCTCACTGACGAAGCATAGATCAAGCGTACGATTGTTTTCATTTGCAATTCCACTCATTTGTCTGAGTCCAGCAGTGCTATACGCATCAAGCAGCTTCCGTGATGCCAGGCTAATCG